GTATAGGTAATCGCATGGGGCCGAGTAAAATTAAGGATTAATATCACGCGTGTTTTCGGAAGTTGCTGAAATTGCCCGAGTCGCGCAGCGACGAGGGCAATTTCTGCAACTTCCGAAAACACAAGTGATATTAATCCTTAATTTTACGAGGAACCATGTGATTACTTGTTTATAATATAAGGGGCAAAATGTTTTCTTACTGATCTCGCGCAAAACGGGACGCCATTGTTACAAAACAAACAGAAATTTCTTTACCTTGGCAGCCGTTGCTAAGCGATTTTCAGCCAATCATTTTCAAGTAATTTTGCCCGGGGATTATTACAAAAATTAAGAAAAAAATGCCCTCTGTCTTGACCAATCACTATTAAGTAATTTTGCCCCTTATATGATAATGGCTTTTATACGGTTTGCGATCCCTCGCGGGCTCGAACTTTCGTAAAAGTTATCTTGACTCCTCTCAGTGCTTTGTAATATTTTCTGGAACAGAAATATAGAGGCCTTTTGATGAGAACTGTTCACAGAGAAGACGAGACGATTTTACGGTAAGTTGGCATCGAGAATGATTAAAATAAAGTTATGAAAAATAGAGAAAACGTTTCAATTTAGCAAGGATTACACAAACAAAGCACTTACTACTTCTATTTAGTACTCAGTGCCAGAAATACAAATCCTAAATCACGAATAGAAATTATACGTAATAGTTTTCCGACACTGATCTTGCAAAATATGATACGGGGCCCGCCGACTTGCTAATATTTTTGAGGACCACTCGATATTCCGAGAGAGTTGAGGACGAAAATCATACCTGACATCAAGGCTCCCGAGACTTTTAACAAACGAACCTTTGATTTGTCTAAAACTCATCACTCGTCTAAACTTGTGTCCCTTACGTTTAATCATAACTTACTTTCCGATGTACTCTTTTGAATGCGGACCTTTATAAAACTTTTTCCCACTTTCTATTAACTGTCTTTAGGATTATTGGCGCCATATGATGGATTTGTAACCTGCATTATCTTAATTTACATGTCATATCATCAAAATGTGACACATTTCTCACAAAAAAGTAAATATGAAATGATATTTTGGTTTTAACGGAGACGTGAACGATTCATATTCCATTGTCAGCATAAGAGTTTTTTTAAAAATGCCGATTATGGAACAGAAGTCTTGATATGTCCGTTAGATCATAAAGTCAACTGAGAAAATCTTTGCTAGTAGCGTTCTCTCGTTTTCACAGTTTTCCTTGAGAAAAACATTACTCAGTTGAATGTCGAAGAACGAACCAATTTATATGTCGTCTTCATGTCGTCCTTAAAATTGTTATTATTTTAAATAAATTTGGTATACGTGGAGATATGATTCTATTTTATGTGCGTGGCCTTTGGCACCTGCCGTTAAATGTTTTAAGCACCCGCAGGGCGTTGTAAAATTTGAACGCAATTTGCATTTTAATCCCTACCGGACCATCGACTGAACGTAAACAGTTGTAGGAAAAATAATCACATCAAGTGTTTTGTTATGGCACATGTTGCTGACGATATTCTTTTGAATCTTTGGTAATACTGCATTACCATGATGACGAGTGATATTCAAAACCCCAATCTGACATAT